ATATGAAAAATATTTAATTTTTCCAAACTAGTAAACAGCCATCATAATTATTGAATCGATCAGTATTCACTAGGTACTATCAGTAGTACCTCAAAATGTCCTCTGAATACATCCTGAGGACCTTAATAATTAACAGCCTCAGGTTGCCGATGAAAGGACCGATCTAGAACATTGATGGCGTAAATCTTAAGCCCAATGACGTTCCTAGGTTGTAGAAAATAAGACGTCCTCTCCAGGCTATTGGCGACACATTGAGGCCTACCTTAGGCGAATGTGTGCTATCTGGGAGTCAGGCGTAGGGCTCCACAATCATGCTCAGAGGTTCAGCTCGAAGGTTAGTACAAAATCATTCGATTTCCATAGATTTAGCAGTGCTTTTTGGTTAGAGTGAAATCAACTCGTAACAACCATTTTTTGATCCTTGTTCGTTTCGATATAATACACAGAATGTTCCAATGTATATCGATATTGAGAGGAATGAGAACTGCCTACTCCATCTCAAAAACTATGGTATTCACGTCGACAGTTAACCAAAAAGGATAGGGATTGTCTTAAAACTGCAAAAGCAGATTCATACTCCGTATAAACGCATGATAACTAGAATATCACAAAACTCACTTCTGCTATTCGAATTTTGATGAATCAGAATCAATAAAAAATGAGAGACCGATTACAATTGAGATTTTAAATACTTAATGATGGTTTTTTGATGCGCTTCGTATCTTCAGGATGGAAAAAATATCCTTATGAACGAGTGGATATAGGGCAATTGGGAATGAATTTTGAATCATCGATTATAGAGATATAATGATAAAAGAATTCCTCTCTGAAATTATTGACGCGATCGAAAAAAAAAACGAAATTGTTTCAAGATATCTCATCATTCTTCGTCATTGCAACGGAAATATTCATTTGTGTAATCATCTGGACAGTAGATATGCGATCAAAAGTCTATAACTTGAAACACATTGCCCCATGTATGAATACAAATGAAAAATCTAGCCTGAATCAATCCCTGGAAACCACTCTGTATTGGTCATTGTATGGAAATGAAGTGATTAGATTTTTCAATAGAGTTCGCAACCGTCAAATTCCTCTCGTTACAATTTTTGAAACAAAAATTCCCTATCTTTGACACATTCCAGTATGAAAATCATATTACCAAGACACTGTGATCAATCAATATAAATCAAAAACCACCTCGAGATATAGCATTGAACTCCATGAAACATCACGAAGAAAGCAGAACAAAATTTTTTGGACGGAATGGGGTGACCCCAAAGTCAATCCAAGTTTACAGTGTACCATCAATCGCCCTGTACAATTTCAATTCAGGATATTTTCAGTTCTCTGAGTCCATGGGTCTCGAGACAATAGAATGAGCTTTTCAATTCTAGGAACCGAATTGAAATCGGATCATTTTCTCAGAAGTTATAATCTTACAAACTCGAGCGAAATTTTCAGGTGTCCCACTTCAATGGTGGGGCACTGTAGATGGTAAGTCAACTATATTATGAATATGAATGAGATTTTTCCCAGTCTATTTTTTACAGTTGTTCGATAAATTCCTGAAAAGTATTACAGTTCATTCGACGCAGCAGTTCCTTCAGCCTATATTTAAACACATGAGAGCTGGGAGAATCCTTGATATCTTCGGGAAGAATATTGTATAACTTACAGCCATTGAAATCTACACTTTTTTATATCGTGCTGCTCTATATGTATTTTACAGCTAGAGACTCTTAGAACGAGTATTGTGATCATGTTGATATGGTTGATAGTCGGATTTATCTATAAATACATATGCAGAAGATTTTAATATATATGTGCTGACGACTGTTAGAATTTTCAGTTCTTTGAATGCGTTTCTGTAGGACTCCCAGTTGAGCAATTATTCCCATCACATATTTTTGTATTAGGAATACTGCAGCAGTGCCCAGTACAGAATCCCAAAATGAATGTGGAAATGAAAATTCGCTTGATACAAAGTTTTCAATGCATTGCTACTACAGTGATTAGACATGAACCTAATAGAGAAACAACATTTCATCGATTTGGTACAAAGTGGTGCATCGATATGAGGATGCCATGATAGTTTTCGGTCCAGAACAATTTCCTTCTGCCCGTAAAGGACTGTTGATCACGTTTAGTGGCAGTGGCGTGTGATGGCATAGGGATATCCACAGAATGGTATCGACTGTTGAATCGACTGTTGCATCGACTATCAATATCATGATTTTTGCTGTGCTGTGGTAGACGAAAACTTGTTGTTTGAGCAATCTTGTACTTCTGGTTATTCTTCGTACTACCAAGAGATTTTATTTTGATGTGGAAATGAAGCCATTTTTGTTCACGGCTCTCGTGCGACCAGGTCATGTGGTGGACACCTATTTTTGTGTCATGCTTTTTCGATACGGAGGTGAGGAATATTAAAATTCATTTTGTGGATGATATTCGATATGATATGCCCATTTAAGATATCACGGCCTGATAGGGGGAGCATGGTGTACAGAATTGGACAGATGAACTCGCATTTGATGTTGAGCACATGGCATGTTTTTGGACTGGAAATTTGACTTTCAAGACTGTTAACTTGATGGATCACTAGTAATCGCAACTTTCACCGTCGGGGGGCATTTGGAAACCTTGAACTATATTCTGGACTTCACTGTGTGGACATCACGTGGACAACTTTTTTCGTTGGTTGAGGCACCTGAGGAATCTTGGTTGCTTTGAAGCCTGAGTTACCAATACACTTGAAGGTAGAGACAGGACTCTGGTGATATTTTTTGTATGTCCTTGGGCATCTGTAGGACCAGACAACCCGGAATATGTGGCAGAATTTCTGCTGCCAGCAGTGCAAGTCCCTAGCAGCCCTACTGGTTCAGATAGCCAGTGATCCTGACTTCTGACAGGAAGTCCAGGAGAGTCCAGACTTCCGGTGTGGTAGATGATCCATCATCACTGAAGATTTTCGTCGCTCCGTAGCCTGAACTCCCAGTGCTCAGTCGGATAGTGAGACGTCCTGGTCCAGCTTGGATTGTGATAGGAGCTTACCCTGATGGCAGCCTGTGGACTCGGCAGTCAGAGTTCCAGTGCATCATCCAGTTTACCTGGGATGAATCGAGTGAGTGCCGAGGTCTCCAGGCATTCATCACTTCCTTCAACTGTATGGAGATCTAGTTTCATCAGCACACTTAACCCCTAACGTCGACTGAGGAAGGTGTGTCTTCGTGTCACCCAAATAGTGAGATCTTGTGGACAACCGGTTGAATCTCATGATGCAAAATCCAGAACTTGCAGTTGAGGTCAGGAGTTTTCATTTATATTCTTTGCCTGTCTGAGGACATTCAACTAACCATAATTTTTCCCTGTCTGAGGATATTTCAATAATAATTTTCCACAGTGTCACGTCATCAGGTATTCGAGTACTTGTCAACAACATATTCCAGTCTAATATCGGAATAAACATTTGATAGAATTATTGAGTCTGCTAGTGACTCTGTGAACCAGAAGAATATAGGCCTATACGCAGGGAAATTTTTCCATGTAATCATAGTATAAGAACGTCATTCACAGTCAATTCAAATACTCATTTTTTCGCAAGTTTAGGTGAAAAAGTTGCTTCGGCTTCCATCAATATCTTTGATTTTTTTCTCAGTAAATCGCTTCGAGAACTTAAGTGGCCCTCGATGAAAGAACAATCCCACTTGTGAATGAAAACAACTAACTCACGACCTGCTTCGAAAAAAACATCGAAAAAATTGTTATAGCTCAATATATCCAGGTCACAGTGTATTCAACCGATATGCATACAATACGAAAGAGATATAGCAATAATCTGCTCTCCATCTTCAGAAGTACAGACATGAATCTCATTAGAGATTCTTCATCTTTCAGAGAGTGATTCATATTTTGATCATTCGTTATATCATTCTGCATTCAACTATGAAAACCCTGTGATGTATATATTTTTTCACTCTTGATATCTGGAGAAGGAAAGGTAAAACCTCCAGAATTAAAATACCTTTGTCAGTTTGAAAAATATAACTACTCTTGTGGAATTCGGAAGTTACTGTATTGTTCAATCCTGTAACATATATTTTCTCCTCGTACCAAAAATGTTTAGAATATTAAATATTTTGAATAATTAGAAACGTTTCAACAATGAAACTCCTCTGGTTTCTTGGGAAAGTGCAACTATTGGTAGGCGCCATTCTTCTTGAAACCTTCTCAAACTTGTTATATATCTCAGATTCTTCCATTTGATCATGGTATGATTTTCACGTTCCATTCTCGAATTTATTCGAAAAGCATACCCAATTTGAGCTATTCACGTCCTTTTAATTCAGTATTCTGCATTCTCAAACAATGATCATTGTTTCATGATCTTGCTTCGAGAGAATTCCAGAGACTGAAGAGGATTAATTTGTTCAGATCTTTTTCCTGAATATACCTATTAAGAGTCGTTGTCTTGGAAAAATTCGTTTTGGGTTGCCGTGGGGCAGGCATGAAGTTTGTGCTTTGCTCTTTCATGATCTTCATGACAAAGACGGCACGCCGGATCTTCGGATAGTTCAAGTCTGAACATATGACGAATCAGACGACAGTGCACCATCAGTGGACCTGTTGGAGAGCCAGTCCTAGTAGATTCTGCCAGAAGTCTGCAATTTTTTTGCAGTGTTTGTTTGACAAATCATAATGAGGTGCCAATTGCAGGTTCTGGTCCGATGAAACCACTAGGATATAACTCACTCAGTCATACTGATAAGTTCCTCAACATCTCCTCTATAGATTTATTCTCATCGGATTCTTCGAGATCTTCAATTCTCAATGTTGACAGTTCTAGAAGATTTCTGAGAATAATAGGGATTATGTTTCATGCATCCCAGAAGTGGAGGATAAACGCGGAAGCAATTTCAACCATCGTTGCCATCACTCTTGAATCACTCTGGTATGTTGAAAATTTTTCTTTGACGCCAAATTCATCCAAAGCAAAAATGAAGAATCCTATAAAAAATCTCGATAGCCCTGAATTGTCCATCACATTGGAAATTTCGGGTATGAAGAGGAACATGCTCATCATCTCATTTGTATGGAGTATTCGACTTACGCTGTAAGTGAGGATAATCTTCAAAAATGTAAAACTGAGAAGTGAATAGTTTCATTGTCATTAACATGAACACGCAAGCTGCCAGCAGCAATCGAGTTAATCTTTCCAGTGAAGGAATTCTTATGATATCAAAGAGCTTCTATTGCTTGGTAACACCACGTTTCCGCAGAAGGTAGATTGTTACCTCAAAACAATTTGATCGGGATCAAGTTTTCTGACAGAATTTTCGATAGTATTGTGAGCACGAGTTGTATTTATTGGGACGATTTCACGACGTATGTGAAACCAATATCTCCTGCAAGACCACGTCGTTACGGTAACCATGAATCTGCATAGAACAACATCTTGTCAGCTCGTATTAAATGAAGATAACAGTTCCATCAGGCTGTCGAATTGTCGAGAATATTCCATTTGTAGTGAGTTTAATGATTATCACTCACCAAAACACCATTGAATTTGACACTATCTGAACCAATATTCTAATTTACATTATCTTCGGGAGTTATTCAGGATATCGGATCAATGTATGACTATAATTTTCAAGTTTGTACTAAAGTTATAGTCAGATGCGTTTGAGATGTCGCACATAGGCTGTGATAGCACCTTTAGTCATTTCTGCAATAAGAGCGCACTGACTGAAAATTCACTGGCCCAATAAAACCCAAAACAATAAACTATCTCCCAATATCTTCGAAAGCTATTCGTGACTTTCATTTTCAGGTGTATGGAACACGAACTAGTGAGTGACGTTATAGATGCATTGCAGTATGCCTATACTAAAGGAGATATTCAGAAGAAGATCAACAGGAGAATGATGCGTGGAGGAGATGAAAAACTGCACAATGTTTCTGCCTGTCATTTACCGAAATCTAGACAAATTATACAAAAAAGATATCAATAAACAATTTCACAATGTGCAATTTGTTTCCATTCATACCTCATAGTTCTGGAGCATAACGTATTTCGTGGGACTCAAGTCCGAATGAAAGTGAATAGAATACAGATTTTCTTCCTCAAAATATCCTATGCCGATACCACCTGAGATGGTCATCGTAATTTGCTCTTGTGAAAAAATGCATGGTTCATTTTTAATTCGGCATGAATGAGGAAACAAAATGGATCCATATCGGTTTTTGGATAAGAATTCCACCGCCCTTGGCTTGCTCCTTCACCAAGATATTCGATACATTCAATGTCAATAATGTTCTAAATACTTTTTGTAAGTCAATAAAGGGGGTGGTATATTTATTTTGCTAGTCAGCGGTTCTCAAACTCCTTTGGTGACGGAACCGTTTCAAAAACCTGAATTATGAACAGAACCCCAACTGTTGTACTGAAAAAAAAAATCGACACCTTGTGACAAGTTCTTCACAAACCCTGAACCAGAAATAATCTAAAAAAATTGTTCCCAACAATGACAGCTTGCTTGTATGCGAATCAATTTTTGAAAATGATCTATGAATCTGATTCGACATATTTTCTGGATCCCGCAGAATTGTTTTCATTTCATGAGTTTACTTTTAGTCTCGTATTCTCTCCTTCAGACAAGTGGAGTTCAAAAGTCGCTCGAATTCATTGAGATATCCCACCAATTCAACAATTATTTTCAATTTGAGATATATCTGTATCACTGAGATCAAGGTGACTACCCAGATAACACAATGATGTCCAATGAACATCCAATGGACCTCCACCTCTTGACACCATGGACATCCACTAGATGTACACCACACATCGTCGAATTTTCCATGGATGTCCATTAGATGACAAATGTCTGAATTTTTTGACATCTAGTGGATGTGCAGGGACGGACATCATTAAGGTCTGAGTAGGGCTGAATCGAAACAAAATCTTGGGGCCAATTAATTATGATGAGAATTCGAAAAGTTATCGGGGCCTTCATTTTATCCAAAATTCAGATGCTCTTGATGACGAGCCGTTGAATATACTTCAGCAAATATGGTGGCAACAAAATGGCGCACCAACCCACAATGGAAGGGCCGTCACTCAGTACCTTAATGAAACATTTCTCAATCAGTAGATTGGAAACGAAGAAGTGGTGCGCTGGCCTGCAAGGGGCCCCGATTCATCGCCGCTGGATTATTTTTCATGGGAATATTCGAAAAACCGTTTGATTATAAGATATTACGTAAGATGTGATGTAAGAGGCATATATCGCACGAATGGAACAGTTACGCACGTAGCCGCGGAGCTGCGAGTGCGTAATTGCTGTACAACACGCATTACGTACTATAATTTACCTACTGCCATGAAGTACATCAGAAAAATTTCGGCAAACAGTCTGAATTATAATTCTCGACAGTAATGTCATCCGCTGTTGATGGCTATAACGCGATCATGACATACCTATATTGACGGAATAAACGAAAACTGTGCGATGTGCTTACTGTGCGTAAAGAGCTACTGACTGATGTTGTATCTCGTGTGTTCTTGTCCACTTTATATAGTGGCAGTAGGTGAAAGATATTTCACGGGACATAAATATTGTACGCCAAAATTTAATGCTCGAAATAACAACCCTACGAGCTAGAGGAAGAATGATCCAGCGCGCGCCTACGGACAACTTGCAAAGACGCATACGAAAATGCCTAGGGGAGTAGAGAATTTTATTATGTGCTTTCTAGAATTCAGGCAAAGTTGCTATCAATTGGCTAAGTATCTCTGTCTATTGGATGATGAATGTCCAAACTTCTGGACATCCACTGGATGTCCAATGTATGACCTCAGGTCATCTATTGGATTGCGAATGGAGATTCATATCATGTCCGTTGGACTACCTTGTTTGGAAAAAATGAACATCTATTGGATACATACCACTTTTCGGTGTAGGTTCAATGGATGTCCATATTGACTGTCCAATGTGACTTCAAGGACATATATTGGACATCCATAATATCCTCAAGTAATGCAATGGATTTGGATTCGCGGACCAATTGAATTCCGAAATCATTCCATTGTGTATGTTAAAATTTATCAGAAGGAAGGTAGGATTAACAAATAATATACATCACTTATGACCAAGATGAGGTACAGCGTCTTGGAAATGGTATAGAAGATACAAATAGCCTTATCTTCGTCAAACTAGAATTGTGTGAATTTTAGAATATTTATTTTAAAAAAAACATCATAAATAGAACATAACACAGAAACCATATATTATACACTCACCGGCACAAAATTCCGCCACCCTGAAATTTTGTCCAAGTTTGAAGTTTTATAACTTATTCATTTTTTATCCGATTTCCATGATTTTGTTATCAGTTTGTAGATCCATTTATCATGTTTTTCCTCAATCATTTTATAAAGTATCATTTATCGATTAGGCTATATTATACAGGAGGAAATCAAAATGTTGTTTTTTGTCGTAATTTCAAAACACCCTGTAGGGAAACTGAGATGGATAATTTTGTTTACATACTGTTTCTTGTAATCTCTGATGTATTCTAAACATTTATTTTTTTGATTCATTCCATTATCTCATTTGTGCTGAGAGTTGCAAAATTTTAAATGAAACGCTGATTTGAAGCCTATTTTTATTAAGAAAGAGAAACACCAGGTATATCATGAAGTTAATCAACAAAAACAATTCAATAACGTGTATTTCCTCCTCTCGCAGCAATGACAGCTTGCAGTCTTCGCGGCATCGAATGAATAAGGTCACTTATTCTTTCTTGAGGAATAGCTTCATATTCTTCGGTCAGCGCCAGTCGTAAGTTTTGCAAGGTTTGTGGTTGTACAGGACGTTGACGAACGGCTCTTTTAAGTTGGTCCCAAAGATGTTCGATTGGGTTGAGATCCGGGCTACATGCAGGCCATTCCAATCTTGGAAGTCCAACTTCATCCAGGTATTCGCTCACTACATGTGCAACGTGAGGTCTAGCATTATCATGCATTAATGTGAATTCGTTCCCAATAAAAGGAGCAAATGGAACAACAACTTCTTGGAGGATTTCCTCAATGTAACGGTGGGCGGTTAGGGCTCCATTTTCAATAAATACAAGATTGGTACGTGCTTCGGTAGAAATACCCGCCCAAATCATGACTGAACCGCCATGATATGAGATTCGTTCTGATATGGTGCAGTCAGCATATCTTTCGTTTCTACGTCTGTATACCCGCTCACGACCATCCGGCGACCTTAAACAAACCCTGGATTCATCTGTGAATAGTACGTTTCCCCACTGTTCTAGAGTCCAGTCAGAATGCGATCTTGCAAATCTCAGTCGGTGTTGTCGATGGCGAGGAAGTAATCGTGGACATATTGTTGGCCTTCGTGAATAAAGCCCAGCTTCTGCCAATCTTCTACGTATCGTTCTTTCACTTACGTTTACTCCACGAATAATTTGCAAGTCATTTTTTATACACACAGCAGTAGATCTTCGATCTCTTAAAGAATTAATGGAGACAAAGTGATCATCAGCTGCACTGGTCATTCTCCTTCTGCCAGAGCCTTGCCGTCTAGTGAAAATTCCCGTCTGTAAATACCTACTCCAGGCATTTCGAACTGTTGACCGCGGAATTCTCAGAGTGCGGGCGACATAACTTTTGCTACGGCCATCCTCTATTAACGCAACAATTCTACCCACGTCTGCTGGGAGTTAATACCATATTGACACACAACAAATTATAATTTTCTCACTGTCAAACATTCTGCCACAATAATCGCGTCCAAAGCCAACGTCGATAATTTTTAACCGAAATCTTGACATAGGTACATTTTCAAAAAATAACATCGTTTCATTTAAAATTTTGCAGCTCTCAGCACAAATGAGATAATGGAATGAATCAAAAAAATAAATGTTTAGAATACATCAGAGATTACAAGAAACAGTATGTAAACAGAATTATCCACCTCAGTTTCCCTACAGGGTGTTTTGAAATTACGACAAAAAACAACATTTTGATTTCCTCCTGTATAATATAGCCTAATCGAAAAATGATACTTTATAAAATGATTGAAGAAAAACATAATAAATGGATCTACAAACTGATAACAAAATCATGAAAATCGGATGAAAAATAAATAAGTTATAGAACATCAAACTTGGACAAAATTTCAGGGTGGCGGAATTTTGTGCCGGTGAGTGTAGTTCAATCTAACAGGAACGTTAATGTGTTTGATAACCATTTTTCACATTTTGAAGAATTTTGGGAGAACCAATGAATCTCATCATTCTACCTGAACTTCAAGGAGAACCATATTATAATGCAATTATTGTGGAAACACAATAATTGCAAACACTATTTCCAACATTTTGAAAATGTTAGAAAACTTCAAATTACAAACACTGTTTTTTCCGAAGTTGAAATTGAATAAAACTTATTATTCAAAGTGCAATAAGAACCATATTATACTTCAATTTGTTTGTAGCAACATAATTTGAATGTAGGAACATAATTCAAATGTGGGAACATGATTCAAATGTAGGAACATAATTCAAATGTAGGAACATGATGTGAATGTAGGAACATAATATAATAATTACTTTGATACATGAGAAGAAATAAAATTTTTCTCACATTTTTAAAAATATGCTCAGAGATGAACAGGATCTTCATCATTCCTATTACATTGAAATGAAGAGCATCTCAATACCGATACAGAAACGGTTTGTCTAATGAAATAACTATGTAGAAACATAATTTAAATGTAGGAAGATAATCCAAATGGAGGAACATAATTCAAATGAAGAAACATAATATGAATACTTTGATATTTTTCTGAATATTCCCAGAGATCAACAGGAACTTCATCATCACTTTAACGGCACAGAAATGGCTTGTCTAATAAAATAGCTATGTAGAAACATAATCCACATGTAGAAACATAATTCAAATTCAGGAACATTATTCAAATGTAAAAACATAATTTGAATATTGGAACATA